TAAGCACATTTTCGTGACAGACTCAATGCAGTGGGCCAGGCAGTTGAGTCGGTTCAGTTGGTGAAAAGCAAAGTTAATGACAGAAAAAAATAATCAAGCTTGTGGAAGCAAAAGATTAAGTCTAACAAGAAATCAGAGTGAGTTACATATTTGTAACAACTGTAAAATGTGACTGCAAAGAGTTAACTTTTGCGATTTTCAAATTTGTCTTTTTCTTCTTAATGCTGGCAATCTAGTGTAAGTAATACTTGGAGGACATTGAGGTCAAATGCATCTGCCCCCCCCTGCCCCCCCAACAGAACATCTAACCCCAGTCTGGCCCCTCCAGTTGAAATGGTCTGGAGCCGCCATTGTAGCACGACCCCATGGAATTGTTATGTTTTCAGGCTCCGTCTCTGTGGACGTACAGCAGAACTGCGCCAGCAACTTCCCAAAACGCTGTCGTGTAAGGAAGTATGAGGACTGGTACAAAGTGGGCCCCTACTGTGTGAAGTATTTCAACACATCATGTTCCTTCCCTGATGCCGAGGTAAAGTCCAAACCACCCCCAGGTGCTTTATTCAGTTCTGGTTCTGTAAATGAACCTAATAATTCCATCTTTTAAACAGGCTCACAATTAGAGTCAACGGGTGTGTCCGAAACCGCGCACAAACCGGAGGCAACTGCTACATATAAATCAGCGTAATCACGTTAATAAAATTATTTTACTGATGTTTACTGCGGTGCGTAGCCTGTCACTCTCTGATGACAGTTATAGATAATTTGTTTGAGTTTGCGATTATATTGACTTAGAAGAGTTTGCACACGTAAATGTTAGCAGTTTTTTAGTCGGTTAGGCGGTAGTAGTTAGGTTATATACACGCAAATAAAACCACAAGGAAATTCATTGTAAACAGAACACGGCAGATATTTTGGCGCGCTGGAGAATCGCGATCAAATGCTAGTCCGTCACTTCCGGTAAGTGCAAAACGTTAGTGTTCCATTTAGGGCAGCACTTACCCATGATAGTGTGCACTACAGAAGGAAGTGCGGAGTGCGCACTACATCTCAGTGCACTGACGTAAGTGCGCGATTTCGGACACACCCACCATCTGTACTACTGATATACTGCATTCAGCTTAATCGTTCCTCTGTGTACCAGTTTGCTTGCAGGGAAAAGGCCACAGGGGGTCACCTGGTCTCTGTGCATGATGAACAAGCAAACTCTGATGTCAACTGCATTGTGATGAAATATAACTACTCCTCACCACGGATCTGGTTGGGTGGGATGGAGCTTTTCCAGGTGACGGAGCGCAGGGAGACGTTGGAACAGGGCTGGGACATCCATGTGCCTTGTAATGTTACTGTGAACCAGGGACGGTAATATCAGCCTGGTGACCTGTGTGTC